CTCGCTGCCTCGGCATACTACTTCAGCAGCAGACGCGTCTTACGCGTGGCCGCACGGTTTTGGGGAGCGGCTGATGGTCCCAGGCTACTTGTCGGTCTCGTATGCCTCTTCCTCGGCGCTGGATAGATCTCGTGTCGGACGGCCCCGATGGACTTGATGACTATCTCGATTGTCGGGATACGTGAGATGCCGGAAAACCTAGTCATCAATGTGCTTTGAGTTGCCGATATGCAAGGGAAAATAACGAGCACGCGCCAGAGCCTGTTTGAGCATCTGCAGCCATGACCGTCACAAAATGTCACCATCGAAAGCCGAATAGGGGGCAATCGTGCTCACCCACCGCCGTCGGTCTTGACACCTTGCGAAGGTTTGGTCGAGGCGCACGAAACTCGCCTTGGCACTCGCACTGGAGGGGGGCCCGTGAGTGGAGATTGAGTTCACGATGACTCGTGGCCGGGCGATATGCCCACCCCCGACCGACTGGCGTCATGGTGGTTGGTGCTTTGGAATAGCTGCTGCGCCACGCAAACTCTGAGAATCCGGGGGAGGCGCTATGGCTGCGGGTGCTTCCGACGGGCTTCGACGGACTTGATGGCTCGGTGACAGGGCGGCCGCCGTGGCTGGCCATCTGATCCCTTTCCCGAATCCCGAGACACGAGGCCAGTCTGTCACGGTGATGGGGTCGTGGTAGGCCAGTCGATGATCTTTGGGAAGAGCTGGCCTGAGAGATGTGGCCCTTGTTGGGGTGACTTGCCTTAGAATTGCTGACAATTTGTAATACTCTGAGTTTGTCGATCTGGTCGGCCCCTAGGACGTATCCCAGAGTCTGCAAGCGTCGGGGATCGGCTGCTTCCTCGGCGGGTTGGTGGACTGCATCAGATTGTGAGGCGGCTCTACGTGCAGTGAGCTTTGGAGAAGACCGGCTGGCAGCGACCATCAGGAAATGAATCGATGTTTGGACAGGAGGTCGGCTGGCGTGGTAGTTTGAATCCTTGGGAACTTGAGCTGCCCCTCTGAAAGGTTTGGAGGCTGACTCTGCGAAATTCACTGCTGATCTACGACTTCCGGCTGAGCAGCCTGGGAACTGTATGACCCAGGTCCGACTTGTGGTGGCAGAAACCCAATACGGGTCCTCGTCGTCGGCCACATGAAGTCAAAGCGTATCTAATGAGATGAACTACGAGAGAAGTATCGCCCAAGGGCGTCAGGGCGCTCGAGAACATGCATGTGGCTGACCGCATCTAGTCACAGACCATGGGCAAAACCTCAAAAGGTTGACCGGGCTATGGAGGCTGGCTGTAGGCATCCAGGTTGCAGGTCATCACGAGGAAGGGGCCTCAGTTCACAAGTCAATCAAGCCTTTTGATTTTGAGTATGAAAGGAAACTGGATGAAAGGAAAGAAAAGAATCGAAAACAAAGAAAATCTCGTCCATGTTCTCCTCAGTCTCTCGACAACATCTCTCCCTGTCTCACCTCACTCCAGCTCCTCTGATCCTGCTCAGTCACTGGGCTTGATGGGACCACCAGGCACCGGCTGCTCAGGCACAAGAGGCCCGCCAGGCACAGGATTCTCGGGTACAATAGGACCACCGGGCACCGGAACTTCAGGCTTGATCGGGCCGCCTGGGACGGGCACCTCGGGAACGATGGGCCCAGCTTCAACCTTCTCACCGCAGGCAATGAGGGCAGCGATGATGGCTTGCTCGAGGTTCCAGATCTCGTACGGGGGTTGAGGGCCGTAGATGATGAGCAGGCTTGTCAGGGTGGCTCGCAGACCGATAACATCCTGAGGACGGCATCCACCGATTGTGAAGACCTGCCGCTTTGATGAGATGCCAAAGGTGGTCTTGGCTTTGCCTAGGATAAATGTATCAACGGTGATACCCTTCGAGGAGAGAATGTCGGCAAAATGGAGAAGAATGAGGTATACGCCGAAGGAAGGGTGATTGTCCTTGTCGTAGGGCTTCAGGAGCACGTAGTAGGCATCATGAAGAGCCTTGAGCTCGATGTCCTCGGTGCGCCTCTCCGGGGCTTTTTTAATCGGGGCAGACTCTTCTCTCTTACCCGGCTTGAGGATGGTGGTAGGTGTCGAAGGCGCCGGCCAGAATATCGGAAGGGATGGTTTGCCGGGAATCAACGTCACCGTCGGAGGGCCGAGTCCGTATTGCCTGGCCTCCACCGCCTGGGGCTCAACCCGAGTCGGGGCGGCACTGCCAAAGGCCGCAAGGCCGACCAGGGCCAGCGAGAAAACACGCATGGCGGATGCTTGACTTTGAAATGGCGAGAGCCTGGAAGCCTGAATACCATTCAGAAAGATGGAGCTGGTTCCTCAATTTATATAGCTTCGTCCTCAGCCTTCATAGCTCTCAGTGTGCCGTTAGCATAAGCTCTTTCGCCTGATCGAGACCCCAAATGTTGGCGCTTCTTTGGTTGCCAAGAGAGTCTGATAGAGGTAGCAAGAAATCAAACATAGGAGCCATTTAGATTGAAATGTCATTATCCAGACTGTGGCACTCACGATCCCCTCACGCTACCATGCCAAAGTCAGCCAGGTAACGGTATCTTTCGTTCTAGGCACGGTTGTACCAGAGCTGCCTCCGCCCTGAGCAACTACTTTCGGGAGACGAGGTTGCTTCCGAAGCGGACAGATCCCATTCTGGCAACAAACCCACGAAAACATCATGTGTTGCAGCCGAATGTTGGCCACCGGTCCGGACAGCGGATATTTGCAACGTTGGACCCTCAGCCTACCATGGGCGCTTCAGCCGCAACTTGCCCAGGGTCTTTAAGCAGCGTAATGCTACGCAGAAAAGGTAACAATAACAGATGGGAAGCTTCCGGTTCGTCAAGCACTAGATGGGAGAGATAAATCGACCGTGTATGCGGTTAGACGCCTCCAAATTATCGTGACATCGCGTCAATGTCGTCAACTCTGAGCCAGCCTGCTCACTGGAAAAATCATTCAAGGTGTAGGCCCAGCTGATGGCCTTAAAGGATGGGACGGTGGCGTCGGAAGCCTACCAAATGTTCCGCTGGGAAAGATTTTGTTTTGGCCACAGATACTATGTCCATTTCACCGCCAGCGCATCTGCACTCCGACAATGGAGCTTGCAGTCGGTACCGAGCGGGGTGCGTACCCTCCACGATGCAGTGCGAATAGCCTGGCCGGTTGAAAGCTCGAGTTCGCACCTACAATGACACGCTGTCGCTAGACGATCACAGGTGAACCAAAGTTGTCGAACCACTTTATAACATATGCGCCTGACGTATCCATTGGCGAAGCAGGTCACTATAAGTCTAAAAGGGCCAACATGGCTATCCGGGTCAGCCACGCAGACAACCACCGGATCCGAATTGCCACCGAAAGCAATCTATTCCCGGAGCCTACGCCTGCCGAGTCTCACGACCCATTGTTGACAGATGTGGCTCGTGGTCAAGAAGAGCGGCAGGTTCGAAACCTTGATCATGAGCAGGTATCAGACAATCGCGGAGGGAGGTCTTTCACGGTTCAAAGGTAAATATAAATGATCTTGAAATGAATAGTGGTATCAGCAGACAAAAAATCATGATTCATCTACATTCTCATTCAAGTCCAAGGACGAGATCATCTTTTCCAAAACGCCGACCAGGCTCCCATAAACTGCCTCTTGCAACCGCGGTTTTGAAAGATCGTCACCGTATCCAAAATCACACCGCAGACACTTCCGGGTGATTTCGCCGTATTGTGGCCCCAAAGCGAAGCGCCCACTGGCCAGTTTGCGGATTTTGACGATATCTTCCAGCGTCTCGACGTCTAGCCTCACCCAGCGATCGATCTGCAGCAAGGCGACACCAAGGCTATGTAGTGCCATGTTGTCAATACCGCAGAGAAGCCTTTCGTACTCTCCAACTTGGCCTGCGGCGGGGTCTTCTGGACATAGCACGCCTTCCATCGACTCAGCTGCTTGTCGCTGGGCGTGTCCCTGAGCAAACCCCACACCGACATGAAGTGTGTTCAACGACCTTGCCAGATCATCGTTATCAGTCGGAAAGATAGAGAGATCTTGCAATTGCCACATGTCGCGCAGCCACGGAGTTGAGTGAAACTTGAGGACGGCTGAGACAAGAGACCGAGCGAGTTTGAGGCGATCCAACATGGTCACATACTCAGCGGCCGTTGGTTCAAATACCTGGCTTATCGGGACTGGGTCCCGATTCGCTTTCCTACAGATGGACTGCTGAAATCCTGGGTAAAACGAATGGCGGTACCCCGCCTCTGACTCGATGTCAAGATGGCCGAGGCATCCTGAAGAGTCTTGGCCTGATGCAGGCGGTGATTTGCTGGTCAACTCCATGCAGACGTCTTTGGAGGCACGAAGATCACACGAGCTTCGACAGGTGGCTTTCTTAGACCGACGAAAAGCTCCTTTGGGTGACCCGAGGCAAGGAGACGATGATGTGACAGTTGTCTCAGTGACCTTGACGGTTTTGAGTTGTTTCGAAGGTCGTTGTACCTCACCATCGGCGGGGGGCATCATGGCCGGGATTTGGGGCGATTCGATCCATTCGAGGTTTTGGGAGCGTACTTCGAGCTCGACCAATGTCGCATATAGAGTATTCCTGACTTGCGTGTGGCAGACAATGGCGATGTCCATCTGAATTTCGTCATCGACCAGGTCTGTCTCGATGAAAAGTTTGACGAGATGCCTCATATGTCCCTCCTGGCTGCAATTCCAGGCTCCAGCCAGTGCATCGTGGAGAGCTTTTGAGGCTCGCCGTATCCTCAATAGCCTCGCCCATTCACCTGCTGGAGGACACTTGGTTTTGATCTGGATGGCTGTCTTGAGTTTGTCGAGCTCAGCGATCTGCTCCCTCATAGCTGTGAGGCCCTCTGTGGATTGCTTTAACTCGTCGAGGGCTGAAATGTAATTTTTCTCATTAATCACCACTTTGACACCGTCTTGGACCCTACGGAGTCTCCGGAGCGTATCTTTCATACGTTCTCCCTGTGAAATGACTTTTAGATGGCGAAGTACAGGAGAGGGGCATGCCACAGACTGACCTTCTGCTGTAGCCCATGGACTACGTCAAAGCCTCGCAGCTGCTCTTCGAGCTCGCACAGCGCCTCATGGCAGGCTTCCACGCTTCCTTTGTATGCTTCTAGATTTTTGCCCAACCATCGGGCGATCGCGTCGTCGAGGCCAGGATCAGTCCATCTTTCGTGGCCAGGATCAGCCATCATCTTGTCAATCGCATCATCATTTGGCAGGACGAGTCGGAGCAACAAGTGGCACTCATTCTCAAAGACACTGCGTTGAACTGAAAGCGCGACCTGAAATCGTTTGATCTTCTTCGAATAATGTCGGTATGTCTTCAGGTTTATCGCGACAGCCTTGTATGAAGTGATGACGAGGCCCACGAGTGGTACAATCCCGAGTGCCAATTCGGCCATACTGTCGCACTTCTAATCAGTCGACTCAGTCGGTCTTTTCAGCTTTCGCGGCAGCTTAGAGAGATCATATACACGACAACAGAGCTGGTGGGTAGACCGCGAATATGATCATCTCCAGGGCTGTCAAGGCTGTGCCTAGCCGGCCCCTGTAGGAGGCCCTCATTCACAGCCCCTGCGCAGCAGTGCAGCACACAGCCCGAATCACCCCTGCTCGGGCTGGTTGCGCGTACAGCTGCAGGTCATCCATTCTGCATCGAGAGATGACCTGTGATTTGCCAGCATCATTCGCGGCACTGCCTCAAGGTCGCTGACGGTTGGGCGCTTCTCCTTCCAGGCACTCTGAATGAAGGTCGCTTCAGCAGCCTTGCGATGTCTACTCAGATCTTAGCACTTCCCAACCACAAAATTTCGTTCGGCGGCGGTATTGCAGACGAGAACCATGCCTCCGCATGAGGCGAAAACACGACATGCCAAACCTCTGTCACGACAGAAGGAGAACCTTGACCTCTCGCGCGTCGACGAATGGGACATCAGCACCGCCTTCTCAGATTCCAAGAGCGTGACGAGCCGGCTTTGCATCGAGGTTGTAAGAGCATTCAGGAGCGTCCTTCGACGGGTGAAATCGCGCAAGGACCTTCCGCGATCTCTGTCCCATCGCCTGGACAAGAGTTGTGGTTCTCTTACGCTATGGGCGGCAGGGTATGGTGTGCGCGAGGGTGAGCTCGACGATGCCCTTGCCAAGTCACGGTCGTTGCGACGATCGATCTCTGAGTTGTTGGTGAGCATTGGCAAGGCTGTTTCAGAGGGTATGTGGTAGACAGTCGGCCTGCTGATCTGGCTCTACTGATCAAGAGCAGAACTCATACCAAGGCTCGGATTGGGAGACGATGCTTGCGTAGACGTTTCTTCTCTGAGAGCTGCGACTGCGGACGCCTCAGCGGCGTTGTCGGAGGATCGACGCCGTCGCAATCGGGCCTCGCCCGATGCAAATGATGACAGCAGCAGTAGCAGCAGTTGTTTTTCATCTGGAGAGGAAATGAACGGGCTCGACGATGCAACGGAAGACATTGCCAACGCGGTCCGTTGCCTCCTCGACCTTGACCCCCTCGTTAAGGCGCCTGCAGCAGATCAAATTCAACCAGAGGAGCACGTCTATCCATCGGTTGAGATATCCTGGAGCCCCCACCAGCTGTACTCCGATCGGATTGCGTATCGGTTCCCCCAGGCACATGGCGAGCTCGTGGACAGGCTCGCACGGGCTAACCTTAAGCGATTTCAAAGGACACAGATCGAGCGAGGACGGAATGTCTTGACTGAGCAGGAGCCTGAACAATGTGCGGCCTCCAGTGTTGTCGAAGTTGACCAAGTCAGTCGCACAGAAGGCAGTACGAAGTTCAACGATTCAGGCTTAGGCTCTTCGGTCCGGACGGCGAGCGCTTATGCCGAAACGACAATGTCCTATCGCCAGAACGAAAGCCATTCTGTCCGCATTCCCCCTCTGCCAGCCGGAGCGAAACTCGGCATTTTTTTCGAGTGCATGGCCTGTAACCGGACGGTCTCTATTAGGAGCAACTCTGCTTGGAAGTATGCTGCCACCTTGTGCCGGGAAACATCTGCAGATTCAATGCTTATCATGACACAGGAAGCACCTGTACCTGGATTTGAAACCCTGGGTCTGCCACGACATGTCTTGTGCGTATGGAGACAAGCCTTTTCCCAATCGCCGGGAATGGGTGAACCACCTTGCCCAACATCACGACTTTGAGGTATCCTCGGAGTCCATCAACTGCCCCCTCTGCCACGAGAAGATGCCAGAGGACAAGCTCAAAGTCATCGCTCATCTGGCCGCACACTTAGAAGAGATTTCTCTGGCAGCTCTTCCCCCCTTGGCCGAGTCTGAGGAGGACTCGTCCCATACCGAAGAGGGGTCTACTGACAGCGACTCAGTTGCTGAACCCCCGACCAGAAGAAGAACAGTGCATAAAGATGGTACTTTGGAAACCCGGGGAGAGTCCTTCGGTCAAGTCCCAGATATCACGAGAAGAAGGAGTCCTGACGGTGCTGAAAAAGGGGATAAGTCAACTCCATTTGACCAAGAAGATGAGAGCATGGTTGGCCGGCACGATCTTCCTGAGACTCACCACTCAAGACGGTTCTTGAGGTTTGTTTGTCGTGACCCAGCCAGTGGCGGCCTCCAAACCACCGTCGAGCCTGTTGTACCCTTGGCAACCTGTACAGATTGTCGAAATGGTAGGAAATGGCGATGGTTCAGCGGAGCCCTCAACCACCTCCATCAATTTCACTTTAGAGAAGGTGCTTCTAAGAAGGGATTGCAAGCTCAGGCGCACGATGCTGACGAAGGCGCGCAACTCAAACTGGCCTTGGAAGACTGGATCGACACTATAGACATTCGCGGCAAGGCAAGAGAAACATTGGAAGCTGTTGCATCAATGTCGAAATCTCAAAATCGATCTACAGCAGCGAAGCTCGCAAACGAAGAATTTAAGTCGGACAATGCATCCATGCCGCAAGCCTTTGGACAAGAACCTCCCGCTGCCCACGGAATAGGTGGCTCTAGCACGACTGATGCATACACCGGAACAGAAGCCTTCAATCAAAGACACCAGAGTTCTCATGGACAGCAACTTGAGAGGGAAACACCGTTGGTGGGGGCGTCTGAGAGATCGCGCCAAGCTCATGCCGCAACAGGTAATCCGAATTTCTCTTGCCGATTGTGTGTACATCGTCAGGGAGCAGATGGGTTCAAGACACGGGGTGAGCTCCTCAGGCACATTCGGGCATCGCATAGTGACGATGGTAATCTGCTCATTGAAGAAACCCGCCTGTTGAGTCAAGATTTGGAGCAACGGCGCATGTTGGTACCGGAAGTGCCACATCCCCTACCCACGGCAGATTTGATCAACGCACACCATCAGCGCCCCCAACGCAAGGACGATAATCCGGAACAAACTGAATCTAACCTCGGATCTCTTTGGGTCTCTCCAACCCAGTCAGAGCAGGTCATTGACAGTATCACAAATCTTCTTTCCGTCACGGAAACATGGCATGATGGAGAAAGCATCAAAGACCACATTCTCTACAGAAATGGTACTCTCCAGGCCGACGGGTCATATCACTGCCCCTGGGAAGGTCAGGCGTCATGCGATCACGAGCCAACCTTGTACAAGGTGAACTACGAGTGAGTCATGTTCCTCCGTCCCAAAGTGTTTCCAATACTAATCCACATATGTACCATTAGCAAATATATCGATGCCCACTTAAAGCCTTACCGATGCAAGGACCCAAGCTGCGAGGTGCTTCGCTTCTCCTCACGAGTGTCTCTTTTGAGACACGAGAGCGTAGTGCACAATAAGCATAATGTTGGTGCTAGGCCCTTCCGGTGTTCCTACGAGGGCTGCGATCGCTCCCTCGTTGGGAATGGGTTCCCTCGCGCATGGAACCTGCAAGACCACTTACGCCGTGTACACGGCGATAAGGAGAGCGGACCGTCGCAGCTCATGGACTCCCCTAGAGAGGAGACTCAAGCCCGTCCTTGGAAGTGCCCCGATTCGGGTTGCAAGTACCACAAGGACGGCTGGGCCACAGAGAAGGAACTGAGCCGCCACGTTAACGACAAGCATAAACTGACGCCTCCTATCTACCGGTGCCAATTCCCACCCTGCCCCTACAAGTCCAAACGCGAGTTCAACTGCAAGCAACATATGGAAAAGTCCCACGGGTGGGAGTACGGCCGTTCTAAGACCAGTGGCCGCAGAGACTCAGCCGGCAGCATTAGAGGCTTCAATCAAGGTGAGAGGCCTGGTGCAATAATTGCCCCTGCAGTGTTCCCCTCCGAGGATGATGAGATCACATTTTCTCCTTTCGAAGGCTATGGCCGAGACACGAGAAAGCTAGAAACACCCCCCTCATTACAACATGGGCTGCCATACGACCCACAGCAAGCATACCTTCCTGAGCAAGAGGACGAGACGCTTGTCTCGCCCAGCCAAACAACAGTGTGGCATGATTCACGGCCAATAGCTATATGCGCCAAAGAGGGCTGTGGTATCCAGACTCTAAGAAGCCCATTCTGCATTTACCACAAGTGCCTTCTTCCAGAATGCTTCGCACCTGTCGCCCGACACGTTGGCGGATACTGTCTGACACACTGCTGCGCTATGCCTGTGTGCTTGAATGGAAAGGCTGATAATAATGACGCCAATGGCCTGTGCCTCGACCATGCCCGAGGAGGCCTGCAGGAGGCGAAGACCTCAGCCCCTTCTTCTGAGCAACACTCCAGCTATGTTGATGAACCAGGGAAGCGCAGAGATGAGCCTCAGGATTTTGGAACAAGAGAGGCGAACACCCGCCTGGGGGAGCAACGCAGACTGCGACGCGAAATATATACCGGGGCGTCTGATGTGTTTGTGCTTGAGAGCTCAGCACCAACCCGAAGCGTACCTGATCTCTCAACCACATATTCCACAGGGCTGAGCATGGGTTCTGCGCAGACACCTCTGATGGGTGACACACCCCGACGTAAGTTCCTAAAGCGGAGATAGACCATCGGCATTCGCGACCAGAGAGTCCTTGAGGACGTATCTTTCCATGAAGGCTGACATCCTCGTTATAGCAAGCGGCAACCGAATCGCCCGCACAATGACGGATGCGCCCAGCGATGCGCCCGCCAACACAAACCTGTTTGGATCGTACCTGTCTTCCGACGGCTGGAGTGAGAGCGATTCATTCCTCGACTTCGACGACCACTTGCGCAACCTTGAACCGGACGAATTCTCACTCCTTCCACGGCCGACTGATGCCGGCGACGGTCCGCCGCCGGACGACCGGCCCGAGGCGATGAGCATAGCGCCCGTATTGAACACCGGCGCGGCGCCGCCCTCTCTGCCCCCGCCACGGCAGGTTCCTCCCGTCCCATCATCCGTGAATGAGCCGATGCAGGGGTCTGAAGGGGTTGATACGAACGAAGAAGCCTTGTTTAAGCAAATTGGGGAAGCGATGGGCATACCGATTGGGGATGATATAACGCTGGCATCGGCCGGGGCTGAAAGTCCGCGACCACGGCAAAACTGATTTGCAGACGAAGCGGCAGAACCACTGTCTTGAGACGCAGTGACGACGCTCCTGAGCCGCGGTTGAGCATACGGTGACCATTGTTCGGGGGAAGTGAACATCTCCGGGGCCGATGATGACGGCGAAGAGTCCCCAGTACACCCAAGGGGCCCAAAGTCGGCTGGCTTCATGCACACTGGAACCTTGGCAGCCCGAATACTTTACGATTGACGACCATTTGCAAGCAACGAGCAGTCGAATTCAATTAGTTTGTCTACCTCATTCCCGGTGCAAATCCCACCCTAGCCGTGCTCTGTCCTTTATCAAACAAGTAAACGCCACGCCTGCTTCGCAATGCGATGAGAATTTTTGATGCTCCACAGCACTCCCTCCGTCCATCTTGATACTGGGCCTTCTGCCCCTGCGTCAAGTGAGGCGGCTCGCCATGCCACCCATGTAAGGAAAATGAAAAGTCGTCATGTTGGAGCCCTTCAGCGGGTAAACCGAGAAGAATGTACAGGGAAGAGAAAGAGAAAAAAGCATGCATGCTTCTTCGTCATGCCAAACGCTGGCAAGAATGTAGTGTGCAAGAAGAAAAAGGCGTTGAATGATTCCGCTCATCCGCCTGGGCTAGTAAAGCCTCTCGTCATCCCCGACCATCTCCTCTTCCTCGACGTAGCCCGCCTCGCTCATCTCGCGCTCCCGCTCCAGAGCCAGCCGCGTCTGGTGCCACATGCTTAACTTGGGCTCCAGCTGCGGCGACACGACGGACGCTTTGAGAAGACCGCGTTTGTGCAGACGGCGTCTGTGTTGTATCCTCGCGTAGGCGTCGAGGGACGTCATCTTGACATGACGAATGTCGACACCGTTGATCCAGTCCCACGCGTCGAGATACGCGTCAGAAGCCTCCTCGGCAAGATGGGCGCAAAGCTGGCGGCCGCGGCCGTTGGTGAGGGCGGCGTCGAGCTTGACTGGAATGGCGGTACCCCAAGTTGGGTCGTTGACGTCGTAGATGCAAGGTGTGGTAGAGCAGAATTCGGGACGGCAGTAACGAGCGCATGTTGCTGTTTCGGCGGCATACCAGACCGAGAAGAGAGTGACAAGAAGACCAAGGAGGCTGAGGCGGAAGGGGTTGGTTTGGTAGAGGCGGGGTAAGGGAAAGTGGACGTAGGAGACTGTGGCACGAGGAATAGAATGGGAGAGACAATCAGGACAAGTGTCGCTGTGGTCCAAGTGCTGATGACTGTGAACGACCTTGGTGGACGGCTTGTCAGACGGCTTGTCCCCCGAGCGTTGCTCCTTGAAGTCGGCCAAGGCCAGGGCAGAAGGTTTGATGTCCACTTCATGCTCTTCCTTCTTGGTATCGAGGACGTCAGTGTGGGCGAGATTGTCCTCCAAACGTTCGATGCCTTGCTTGGCGGCATGAATGTTCTGGAGCCCGTTCTTGAGGGACTTGGTGATTCGGTCGTAGCGCTCCAGCTCGCTGTGATCCGCCTCGTTGATGACTGGTTTGTTGGCGAGCTCCTCACGCTGACTTGACAGCTCGTTGAGGATGGATTCAATCTCGGGAGAGGGTGCGTTATCAAGCCTGCCAAGTTTAAAGAGTTCTTCGAAATCGTCGAGTGTTGAGTCCTCAAGAGAGTATGTACGCTGAATGTCGCGCAGATCGTCCTTGACCGTCGGCGGCTTCACTGAGTTTATCAGCGGGCGGCGATTCTTAGGCAGCGACCGCGCTCTCTGACGGATTGTTGACGTCGTCGACGTTGGGTAGTCGAGCGCTTGTTCGTGCGTGTCGTGGACACTTCCAGAAGACTTCGACCTGGACCTGGACCTGGGTGCCTCTGCCGAAGAAGCGGAGGACTTTCGATGGGAAGGGGCTCTATCTTTGTTGCCTGTGATTTCGGGGATTTCTTTGAGGAGGTCCGAAACCTTTTCCGTCTCCTTCTCTTCCACTTTGAACGGCGCAGGCGTCTCGACGTATGCGCCCGTGATCCTTGGCGTCGGCATGGACAAGGGGTCTCGTCGCAGAGGTCGTGGCGTCTCCTCAACCAGGTCATCGTCGGAGTCCTCCTCGCTGGACGGTTCAATCGACGGGGCCCGGACGGAACCGCGCTCCGACTGGTTATCCGTTGGCGCAAACAGGTTCATCTCGCCTTCGATTCGATCCGTGGGGTCATTGTCAGACAGGGCCACGCTCGTTCTCTTTCCCTTATTAGAGTCGATGGAGCGGTTTCGCCGGATCCCGAGAAAGTTGACCGACGGCTTCGCCTTATCCGAGTCTTGGCCTTCTGACGTAGGAGCTTTCTTGGAGTCGGCGCTGTTTCGTCGCGAGCGCGAGGCGTTGCGGCTGTGCGCTTCTTCAGCTTCTCTATCGAAAGCGAGGGACTTCCTGACGTCCAGGCTAGAGTGACGAGAATGCGCGGCCTTACTCCGGGACTCGTTCGTCGTTTCGGTTAGCTTTGTTCTCGATACTGTCTCCTCTGCCTCCTTTGCAAAGGGTGCTGATTGCGCGACAGCAGTATTGGAGATCTGTTTAATATGAGAGGCCTGGTGAACTGGAGGCTCCGCAGATATCTTGTCATTTGGCCTTGAACCGAGATCTTGCTGCTTCAGCTTCTCTATACGAGCTTCCACTGCAGCTTCAGTATGAGCTTCTACTCCGGCTTCTGTACGAGCTTCTGGTGCTGGACTGGTACTGGCTGCCCGTGCCAGTCTTCTCAGAAGATCCCGGGAATCCGAGCGCGTGTGACCGAGACCTGGTCTCGAGGTTTCCGGTTCATCAACTTGCTGTGGCGCCTCCTGAACCACAGGTGCCGGCTCAGCGTTCTTCGTCTTGGCCTCCTCATGTTCGTTTGGCTTGCGGTATACCGTCACAGGTGTGTTGGGAACACGCTCGCCGTCGTCCTTGGACAAGGTGCGCCTGTGGGTCGGGCTCTTATTGCTCGAGGGTTCCTGGACAGACTGGCGGTTGGGACGGGGCGCCGCTTCGGGCGAGAGTGATCTCGACATGTTGAACTCGCGTATGTCATCCAGGCGACTCGCAGCGAGAGCCTTCTTCGACGTGAACGCCTTCTCGCGCTCTCTGATCTCGTCTAGCTTGGTGTTCTTCGGCAGGTCGTCCTCCCGTCCGGCAAAGGCCTCTTCGACCTCGCGCTCGCGCTGTCGGATGTCGTCGAGCTTGGTATTTATAGTCACGTCTTGGTTCCGCTCAAAGGCTGCATCATTGGCGAACATGCGCGAGGCGACATCCCCCGTAAGAGTGTCCAGATTCATTCGCGGGCTGTCCGAGAATTGCAGGTCGCCGGCCGTGAAGTCGTCCTCGATCTGCCAAGCAAAGTCTTTGTTGGGAGAACGCCCCTCCAGCTTTGGGACAATGGCAGATGTGGGTCGGGAAGAAGGCGGTGTGGGTTCCTGGGGCTTGTCGCCCTCAACCTCGACCGAGGGGAGGGGTATGTCGGCGGAATCCTCTTTGAAGGTTTTCCCTTCTTTCACGGCAGCGGCTTTCTGGTCCTCGCGGGTCAAGAGATGCGTCACCCAGCCCTTGGGCACGTGTCCCTTGGCAAATGCCGCTGGTCGAGGGCTCGTACCGCTGAGGCTGCCGGTGCTCGTCTTCTTCGCCAGCGTCTGGCCCGTCTCGGCAATCTTGGGTCCTATCCTCGAGTTGCCGAAGAGGCTAGACCGACGACTCGGCGAGATGGACGAGTGCCGCTGCTGCTGCTGCTGCTGTTGGGCGTAGGCGCTCAGTCGGCGTTCGAAACTGCCAGTGCTCGAGGTGCTGTCGGCCGAGTGCCCGCCCTCGTCTTCAGAGATGGCGCTGTCGGCGTGTCGCGGGCGTGCGTTCTTGATATCGAGGGGCCCCTTGCTCAGCATCCTGCGCAGACGGCCGTCGTCCGAGGCCGGCAGGGAGTGGCGGGGTCGAGGCGCAGGGCTCGGGGAGCCGTCGATGGGCAGGGGCGACAGGCGTCGAGTCCGCGGCGCCGATGCGAAGCGGTGTTCTTCGGCCTCGGCCATTTTGTAGGCGTCAGCAATGGACATGGACCCCCTCGCCTTGGAGAAGACGCCAGCAGCGGAGCTTGGTCGGGGTATGCGCGATGCACTGTCGGCGCTGTTGTTCGAGGCGATGGATGGTGAGGGAGAGACCGAGCCGGGGCGGGGGATCATGGAGCCGACGGCGAGGGCGTGGCCATCGGAATATGCATTTCTGGCCATGCCGAGTCTCGTGTCGTTGGCGTAGGGGACCCCACCAAGACTCTCTCGGGAGGGCTTCTGGAAGAGCGGCTTCCGGCCGCCTTTGTTGATGACGAGAGGTAAAGAGCTGCGTCCATTGGTACGTGTAGCCAAAGGGCCAGTCTCATGCTGTCGTGTGTCCATGTCGGTGGAGCTCTTGGGGGGATGGGTGGTGGTGCCGATTCGAGGCAATGTCGAGCAAGAGTCGGTGTGCGTTTGGTGGGTGGCAGCGGTGATCAGAGTGTGGGTAGGTGCATGATACCTGGGTGTCTCGAGACAAGTCGCGTCATGACAGGATCGCGGGGTCCAAAGAGAGAGAAAGTAAACTGTATCTCCAGTTGAGCACGAGGAGAAGAATGTTCGCCGACACGGTTCCGGTCACAGAACAGAGTCGTGGCCAGAAAGGGATATGGCCACTGTTTGGATGCTCGCCAAAAAAAGAAAGGGCAGCATCGCTCAGGAGATGAAGCGCGTCGAGGAGGAGCACGGGCCGCCAGATGGGGATCCACCGTTGTTGATGGCAGGGTCCGTCTCGGCTCCGTCAGGTTAGCGTTATTGCAACAGGCCTTGCCCAGGTACGTACCCACGTGCCTAGGCAAGGCACCTTAGGTAGGTACAGTGCCTGGGCCATTAAGACAATGTACCTGAGCACAGTACATAGGTACCTACCCAAGGTACTTACCTAGCAAGCTTACCTACCTAGGTAGGCAACTTGGTTAGCAGGCAGGCACGTTGCACAAGCTGCGTCGTACCTGGAAGCAGGCGCGAATGGTGCTGTGCATGCCTGTCCTGCTTGATCATAGGCCAATGGCAACTGCCTCCAATCCAATGCACTTGAACACCAGAAACAATCGTATCCAGCTCCAAGAACAATACAAACTCGATTGTTGCATTCAACACCAACAGCGACCACATTCTTTGTCTAGTCATGATCACCCGTCCGGCGTTCTCGGAGCCCAGTCTCTCATGGGCCCCACATGTCGCCAGCATCCCGTCGGCATGCCCCTTGTCCGATTCCCGTGCGTGCAAGGTCTCTGGTCTGGGATCTGGGATCTGGGACCTGGACCTGCGTCAACGTCGTGGCTGAGGCTTTGGTTTGGCGGACTGTTAAGAACCCCCGACCACGCGCTCAGCCCTACGCATTTCTCTGCCGCTTGCGCAAGCGACTGACTTGCTTGTTTCCCTGGAACCTCGCTCTGCTCCAAGCAACCCATAATGGCCGGTCAGATTGTAGTAAGGCCGTGTGGCCAGCTGTGAGTCTCTTCACAACGAGGCCCTTCCCCCTTCCCACCCCTGACACAAACAGGGAACAGTATTCCACCTCGAGACATTCATTGGGCATCTACTTTGCTGTGTCGACCACCTGTCGCTATCATGTGCCTTCCGAACTTGGCAACACCAAGGCTCTGCGTCCCGCCATTGAGCAAGCCGTGGCCCAAGTTGTCTTGAAGCAGCCGTTTATGCGTGTCGGCATCACCGGCGAAGACTCGAAGCAGCCGAATTTTGTTCACGTCGCTGTCATCGATCTCTCCGCCCAGATTCGATGGCTCGAACCGATTGAGGTGGCTGCGGCCGATGCCGTGCTCGAAAAGCAGCTTGCCGTGCAGTTGGGCACCCGCTGGCCTGACCTCGAAACGCGCCCGCCATGGAAGGTCACCGTCGTACCTCTGAATGCCCGTGATGGGCATCTCACTGCCCTCGACATTGTGTACACCTTTCATCACGCCATTGGCGACGGTACCAGCTCCGCCATCTTCCACAAACAGCTCCTTGAAGCTCTTTCCAAGCCGGCACCCGTTCCTTCTCTATCCTCAGCCGGCCTTCTCACCCTCTCCGAACCTGCTGTCCTGCCGCCGCCCCAGGAAGAGCTCATCAAATTCTCCATCAGCTGGCCCTTTTTCCTGCGAACCCTCTGGAAAGCCTTCGGTCCCGACTTCCTCAAAGCAAAGCCGAACCCCGTCCCCTGGACCGGCAATCACGTCAATCTGGCCAATTCCTTTCAGACCAACGTTTGCCTCTTCACCCTGCCCGACGCGACATCCTCGGCCCTCCTCGCCGCCGCCCGCGCCAACGCGACGACTCTGACACCGCTCTACCACGCCCTGGCCCTCCTCTCCTTTGCCCGCCGCCTGCCCGCCACTACGGCCCCCAACTTCGTCCACGGCTCTTCCATCAGCGCGCGGCGCCTCGTCGATCCCGCCGTCCTCGACACGTCCTCGCAAATGGCCGTCCTCGTCACCTCTCTCATCCACCCTGATACGGCTGCCATGACTTCGCAGTTCCGCGCCCGCCACGGCTCCGACCTCGACTCGCTCGTCTGGCAAGCTGCGTCGGCCATTGCCACCTCCTTCCACGACAAGATTGCATCCTTGCCCCGCGACGACGTTACGGGCCTGCTAAAATGGGTCGGCGACTGGCATGCCTACCTGCGCCAAGCCGACGGCAAGCCCCACGACTGGACGTGGGAGGTCAGCAACCTAGGTGCTCTCAAGGCCGTGGGTGACAACGGGTGGGGCATCACGCGGGCCGTGTTCGCGCAGTCGGCGCTCATGTCGGGGCCGGCGATGACGCTGAACCTCGCGGGGGTCGTGGGCGGAGAGATTTCGGGGACCATGACGTGGCAGGAGAAGACTGTGAGTGCCGAGCTCGTCGAGGGCGTAGTGAGCGATCTTGCCGAGTGGTCGAGGAGGCTTGCTGAGGAGGGCACATTGGGATTGTAGGTATCGGGGGGGATGGATACCGGCTAGTGCCATGAATAATGTTTAATACGACTGACAGAATTTATCATCTGCTTGCTATCGCCACAAAGGTTGCGAATCTAAGGAATGGCACCTTGGGCATGACCTTGGCAGGGAAGATTAGGTTTGTATGACCTTTTTACTTATAGGTCGGTGCATCCATATCTATTTCGAGCCTTCAGCCTGCTGATGATTTCATAGAACGCTTGTTTTCTTGTCTTTTGGTTCGGCACTTCCACTGTCATCTCTTCGAGAGCATACATACAAGTCCAGCAAATGCTACACCAAGTCAATATCCACCAGCGGCACTCCTTTACTGCTCAACACGTCCGCCGTCAGTGTCATCCGCCGCTCTAGCGCCTCCTTCCAAGTCGCGCTCTCCTTCATCTTCTCACTCAAGAACCCTCGCGCGAACAACCGTGGATCATCCCACGTAGGAACCGACTCGCCGTCTTGCAGAAAAGCAGGCACCACCTCACTCGCGTCAGGACTGTCCCTCCACACGGCCGTCCACCCCGTAGGCAGCGGCCCAAAGATGCCCTCGCCGTTCATGAACCCATCCACGTACGCCTCACCCACCTCGGCAAAGCCGCGACCATCCCCAACGGTAGGCGCAGGCGTCAGGAGAAGCAGCGAAGGGCACCCGGGCAGCACGCAGAAAACGTCCCCGACCTGTGCCGCCACAGGCACGCGCGCCACATGGCCGTCGTCCGTCAGACAGACCATGCCCCTCTGCTGGCGGTTGCGAAACACGGTCAGACAGCGGGCCTCGACAGCGTTCATGGTCCGGCTGGTGGCCCTGTCCTCGTCAAACGTGGCCTGCATCAACGCCCTCGCCTCGTCAAAGGCCATGTCGTGCCCCGTGTCGCGCGCGGCCGGCACCGTCCTGTCGCGGAACTGGTTGCCGAACCACAGTCGTGTAAAGGCCTCGAGGAGGTCATCGTACCCCTGATACGCCGTCTCGGCTCTGCGCACGGCCCAGAACGCCTCTCTGAGGTCCGAGAACTCGGCCAACAGCGTGTTGGATTTTGTGCTGTCGCAGACCACTTTGGCCAGCCGCGCGACTTTCACGCCGCAGGTTCGCAGCGTCTCCCGGCCGACGAGGCTGGCCCGGCACGGCACGAACCCGCCAGCGTTCGGCAGGGCCGTCTTGACGCCCGGACACCGCGCCGTCCAGTTGGGCACCCAGGTGAGCAGGAACTTGCCGTCGTGCAGCGCCTGCGGGTGGTGCAGACCGGCATAGGTCAGAAAGTCCAGGCTCTTGCGCCGCTCGAGCCACACGAGGGCGAGGCCGCGGTACAGGTTGCCCATGGGGAGGGTATAGTCGGCGACAATGGGGAAGGCGCGGCGGTCCTCGTCGGACAGCATGTTGAGCATGCCGTAGACGCGGTCGCGGGGATCCGTGCAGCTCGACAGCACGGCGGCGCTCAGCGTGGCAAACAGGCCGCGCGGGACCTCCTCGCCGAGCGCGCGCACGCGGTCCATGGCGAACAGGGCCGGCGCGTTGCGCTCGAGATCAGCGACGACGTCCGGGTAGTAGTGGACCTCCTTGGTGCCGAGCCAGAAGGCGACGTCCTTGAGGGCCTTCCACGGCACGACGGCGGCGCCGCACTGGACGACGGCGGCGCCAGGCCGCGCGAGGAAGATCTCCTGCCGGATCCACACGCGGCGGAACCACGGCCGCAGCACGAGGCGGACGAGCCCCGGCCCGCGGTCGCCCATGGCGAGCGCGACGTCGCGGCTGAACCAGCTCGCGTCGAGCGCCGCCGACGGCGTCGCCGTCACGGTGCCGCTGCGCCAGTCGACGGCCACGTGCGCCGCGTACCAGGCCACGAGCTCGAGCGCGCGCGCGCTGTCGTCGGCCTCGGGCCCCAACCACACGACGACGCGCGCCGCCCCGCGGTAGAGCGCCCCCATGTGCTGCACCTGCGTGGCGCGCTCGCCGAGGTCCTGCTGGTTGATGCAGAGGGCGTCGATCCACATGGTGCGCGGCGCCGCCGGGCCGCGCAGGTGCAGCAGCGCCTCGTGGAGGTTGCGCGACACGGTGAGCGTCGCGCCGTCGTCGACGGTCACGGGGAACGTCTCGGCGGGCGAACCCCAGACGTACGAGAGGGCTTCATAGGCCGGGAGCGTGGCGGCGTCGTCGAGCGAGTGCGCGTGCAGGTGGAGACAGAGGGCGTCGGTCGGCGTGCCGGGGCGGAGCGTGACGAGCCGGATCGTCCTGTCATCGACGGCCGAGTACTGATACGTGGCCATCGGCTGTCGACTGGGCGTCCGAGGTGATGCTCATGCTTGAACCTGTGAACCATGCTGCCGGGAGCTGGGAGTCATCCCCTGCGTATTGACGTACTGGAAACCAGTGATACGCCTACTCTGCGGCTGGTCAGATTGTGATTGGCGGAATGCCGACCTGAGAAAGATAGCCTGGTCGAGCAGCGTTGGCTCTGCATCCTGTCTTCTGCAATGTGAACACAAAGTCAACGGGTAGAGCGACAACACCAAAACTTGCACAGGTCCCACGCGCAAGTCATGCATCCCAGTTGGAACAATGCTTCCCGCCCACACCGCAGATGACTCTACACTGTGGATTAAAATCTTATGCTCTCTACCGTCCTCACACTTGATCCAGTCTATAGTGCCGCGCTTTTCATCCATCATGAGCTTTGCTTTGTACAGGTCTACCGCCCGGATTATGAACAGGCCACAGCCACGCGGAGCCGTGCCGTACAGTGTAAGAGAACAAGAGAGCGAGGGAAACAAAACCCCAAGTCTCTCGGCAAAAAAAAAAAAAAACCCTGCCAACGCCGCCCAGTGCTTTGTGCGATCCAAGAAAACAAAAAGAAAAGGAAAAACAGATAGAGACGAGCGATGCACTCTCGCGGCCGTCTCTACCACCCCTCGCCGGGCCGCCTCTGGCTGCGCGCGTTGCCCCGGAAGTAGTCGTACTGGCTGGGGTCCGCGTCGCCAGGGCTCTGGTCGGCCTCGGCCTGAGGGAGGTTGCTATACCCCCTCGGTCCGCCGCCGAGCGCGCCGGTGCTGGGTCCCGGCGTGGGCGCCATGCGGAAGCTGTCGACGCTGCGGTCGCGGCCCCCGCCGACGCTGTTGTTGCTGTAGCTGGGCGCCGGCGCGCCCATGCTCATGCCCATGCCCATGCCCGCCGCGTCCTGCACGAGTGCCGTGTTGCTGCCGTTGCCGTTGGCGTACAGCGGGCTGCGCGAGCGGTCGTAGCCCATGCCCTGCGGGAATCCAGGGCCGGGCGAGGCGCGGCCGCCGTTGGGCGAGTGGTAGCCTGCTGCCGCCGTGTTGAACTCGTGGGTCGGCGCGCGGTGGAGGGGCCGGTTGAAGCCCGTCATGCCGCCGGCCATGGCGTTCATCGTGGGCGTGCCGGGGCGCGAGTAGTCGGACTCGCCGCCGTGGGAACCGGGGGTGCCGGGCCTCATCCTGTCGGCGTCGGCGCCGAAGAGGTCGCCTTGGCCGTGCTCGTCGGCGAATTCCGGTCGGTTCTTGTAGAATTCGAAGTCCATGTGCGAGTCCGAGACGAACTCGAAGCCGGGCACGTGGGTGTTCATCTGCTTGCCGGGCTTGCCGGCGTTCATGGGGTCCAGCGCAAACGTGTCCGAGTAGCCAGAGACGGACATGCCGTCCATGCCGCCGGCCTCGCGCCCGTCGGACAGACGGCCCTTGTACACAATGTGGAGCGTCGCCTGGGCCTTCTGGTGCACCATGGGCGTGATGAGGGGCTTGTAGAGGGCCGGGTGGCCGAAGCGCGACGCGAGCCTCTCGCTGCGCAGACGCTGTTCCTTCTGGAGGCCGCTCTCGGGGTGCTTGGCGACGTTGAGGGTCGAGTAGTAGCGGATCTTGTCGTCGAACTGGCGGGAGGCGACGAACTTGAAGAGCAGCATGAGGAACGGCAGAGGCACGATGGCGAGGGCGTGGGTGTGGTGGGCGCCCTCGCCACGGACCCAGCAGGTCAGGAAGAAGACGAGGTCGGCGAGCATGGTGGCGAAGATGACGCGGTTGAAGACGACGCGCCAGAACATGCCGCCCGACTCGGTCTTGGTGACGAAGACGTAGAGCAGGAGGTAGCGCTTCAGCCAGACGTCGATGGCGAAGTACAGGGCCACGGCCGGCAGGGTGATGGGCTGGATGCCGGCGAAGCACAGAGCAATGGTCGAGTAGTAGAGGAAGTAGTTGTAGTAGGGGGCGTAGTCGAAGGCCGGGGGCGCCGTGAGCTCGATGAGGTCGCGCGGCGTGGGGCTCGAGAACTTGCGGGCGAAGAAGCTGTAGATCAGGGGCCAGAACTGGGCCAGGTCGATGGCGGCACCGAGCTGGCGCTGGAGGAGCCAGTTGACCCAGAAGGGGCTGACGGTGCAGAGGGCGAGGAACAGGGTGTCGGCGATGTTCTCCTCGAGGATGGCGTCCCAGGCGTCGGCGCCGTGGCCGGTCCGGTTGATGACGCCGGCGACGAAGGTCCAGGTGGCGCTGAACAGGGAGAAGACGACCAGGTTGTTGAAGACGAAGAAGGCGTACAGCTTGGCGACGACGTGGCGCTCGCGACCGCTCTTGGTCTGGTCGCCGGCCTTGATCGACAGGCGACGGAAGATGATGGGCAGCACGAGGAAGACGAGCGAGGTGATGGCCGGCGCGGCGATGCCCTGGACGAAGGCCCAGAAGGTCTTGTTCTCGACGAGCTCGGTCTGGAACTCGCGCCAGACGCGGCCCAGGTTGTTGAGGTTGACGAGGAAGACGGCGATCATGGCGTTGGGGCCGATCCAGATGAAGGTGAGCAGGGTGATCCACAGGTTGTTGATGACGCGCCTCCAGCGGCGCGTGGACGCCGACAGCGGCAGGTTGTTCCAGATGATGTCGTTGGGCCGCGGGGCCAGCTTGATGGTCGAGCCGTGGGGGTGCTTCTTGCGGCAGGCGTAGGCGATGTTGTGGGCCTCGGTGATGTCGGAGTAGCTGGCGAAGCCGTAGGGCATGGAGCTGCGCTTGTCGACGCTCTGGCGGACCTGCTTGATCTCGACCTCGAGCGTCTTGATGCGCTGCGTCAGGTACTCAATGGCGTCGACCTTTTGTCCCTGGGGGTAGGTGCTGAACGAGGGGTCCTTCTTCGAGGGCTTGCAGAGCGGCCTGTTGGGCGGCAGCTGGGCCGGGTTCTTCATGAACTTGGCGAGGACGGACTCGAGCTTGCGCACGGTGTGGTCGTGCTGGGCGATGAGCTTGGGCAGATCCTTGACGTTGCGGGCGACGGCGGTGCGGGAGAAGGAGGAGCTGGGGACGACCTCGTCGATGATGCGGGCGATGCCCTCGTCGGAGCTGCGGTCCTTGGGCAGATCGTAGAGCTGTCATGGTGGTCAGCAGGCCTCTGGGCGGGGGTGGCAGGCCACGACGGCGAAGGTCGAAGAGGGGAAAAAAAAAAAAAAAAAAAAAAACTCACCATCAGCGTCCTCGCGTGCAGGCTGTTCTGGTACTCGTCGCTCTCGAAGTAGCGACGGCGCAGGTGCAGGACCTTTTTCGTGTTCCACCACAAGAAGAACATGACAATGGCGTTGATGCCGTAGGCGACGGTGACCTGGGCCCACTGGGCGTCGCCCCAGACGTTCGAGGGCGTCAGCATGGCCAGCCAGGCGCGGCCCTCGCCCGAGACGTCGACCTGGGTGAGGTTGACGGGGATCAGGATGGCGAGCACAAAGACGGTCAGGGTGACGAAGAGGTTCCGCAGCATCTCGACGAAGCGCATGAAGATGGCGGCGTCCATGCCGGCGTACTGGATGAACTCGTACTCGGTGGTGCTCCACAGGGGGAAGACCCAGGACCAGAGCTTGCGGCCGATGGGCGGCGGGGCGTGCTTCTCGTCGGCATGCTTGGTCTTGGGGGCGTAGACGGACTGGTTGTAGGGTCGCAGGAAGGAGAAGGCAATGGCGATGCCGAGCGTGAACAGGACCGAGGTACCGAGGGCAGCGAAGAAGGAGGTTTGTTGGAGCTGTCGAGGGTCACGTCAGTAGGTGTCGAGACGAGAGGCCAACGGCAACGGCAATGCATACCTGTCCGGCAAAGGGGTCCTGCAAGAGATCCAGCAGTTCCTGCCCAGCATCAAACTTGTCCTGCCGGGCCCTTATCCTCTGGAAGACGGGATCCATGGTGTGTCTATGCGTCTGTGTGGCTGTATGTGTCTGTGTAGTAGAGGTGATGTCGGGGGCCCAAAGGAGGGCAGGTCGGCAGGTGACGTTCGTATCCCGAGGAAAAGGGTCTACCAAACAGCCGCAATGGTAGGTGTGTTACGAACGACGGGTCGTCTTCGTCGTTTGGCTATCGATGCTTGTCGCCGCGGGGGACGAGAGAGAAAGAGAGACGGAAAGGTGCAAAAGGGTGGTTTGCACTCGGTGGCCACGACGAATTGACACTCGGGAAATGACGTTGGTGGACTGTCCGGGGGGTGTGGTCGTTGATCGACTACTGAAACGGGTCCCAGAAAGCACGGCTCAACGAGGGACGAAAGAGGGAAAAAAAATGCTGTGCTGTGCTGGTGTTTCTTGCGTTGTGCGTCCGTGTTCTCGTGTGTCGTGACGACGTCCGATCTCTAGCGAGTGGGCGATCTGGGACGGTCGTGTTGTTAGGAAGAGATGGCCGATGTTCCTGGGGCCGAGCATGGAGATGGAAGAGGGTGAGAGAAAAGTCAGGACTGTACGTAGGGTGAAAGGAGGGGGGATGGGGGTCGGTGGAGGGGATGCCCCAGGAAACAGGCCCAGGAAACAGGCACAGGAACAAGGACCAGGACGTAGGACGTTGAGGGTGTGTCGAGCATGCCGCTACGGCATGCATTCTGGATCTGGTGATGAAGTCAGTGGGTGTGGGTGCAGGCCTGCCCGGCCGGGCTGCCACCTACCAGGCACGCCAGCAAAACTGTAGCGGTAGGCCGAAACGGTGGGCTGGCGTTTCCCGAGAGTGACTTGTCTCGCCGCACGGCCTGCACCCACGTCGAGGTACCTCCGCAGCGTCGTCAGCGCCCTCGACACGAAACAACCGTCGACAGCCGCCGAAAATTCTTCCCCGGCACGCAGGGACGCAGGCACTACAGGCAGACAGACCTAGGTACTAGGTACTGTTGGTACCGTACGTACCTACTGAGGCAGAGAGCCGCGTCTGGCGTCACTCCATGCCAGCCATTGGCCGACCTCCTGAGCGAGCGCCGTGCACCCAATCCACAGGCCCTCTTCTGTGCTGTCGGGTGGACACTGTGCTGTCGTGGACACTGTGCTGTCGGGTGGACACCGTCGACAGTAGGTCCCTGGCATGCGCTGTGCTATTTTTTGCCCGTCGGGTGGGGTCGGCGTCCCGGGACGGCCGCTGGCGTCACTGCTCACTGGGCACCCTCGAGCCTGGGCCGTCCTCGCGCCTGGCACCCTCGAGCCTGGGCCGTCCTCGCGCCTGGCACCCTCGAGCCTGGCAAGCCGAGCCTGGCAAGCCTGGGTCGGAATACGAGGCCCACAAAGGCAGTGCTTCAGTAGTTTATGCGAGACGCGGGCTACCGGGTCCGTCTTGGGGGTCGGTTCTTGATGAGGGTGCTCTGTATGCAGCAGAGAGCCCCATTGGGTCGCTGAACGGGATGGCAAGGACGGCAAGGATGGCCATGCCGACGAGGGAGTTGCGCGACGAACAATCAGGTACGAAGCCATCATGACTGGTTCCCGCGCCCCGGCCACTTGCCAACAAGCTTGACGATTCACCCACAAGCTGCTTTCTTCGCTGGAAACACCTGCAGCCAAATGCATGCCAACCACCAACACGTACTCTGTCGTTCTGGCTCTCACAAGGGAAAAAAAAACCAAGGGTTCTCGACCCTTCTACACTTGCCACTCGTGCCAAGCACGCCAACGCGATCGGCACCCTCTCTGTCCCAACTTTTTTTTTTTTTTTTTTTGCTCAAACGGGCACGCACCAAGCTTTCTCACAGGTTCCCAAAGAGGGAAAAACGATCCCCACCGAGGTCCCGCGGAGGGAGCTTGGGGACCAAACAAGCTGCTGCGCATTGCATTGGGGGGGGGGGCAAGATCTGACGAGCGACCCAGCACAGTAGTGCACAGCGCAGCGGAGCAGCGGAGCCGGGGGGGGGGAAGAAGGGATGGGCTCAAAAGAGGGCACGCTTGTTGATCCTTTGACGTCACGCGCTCTTTCTCCTCCCCCGATGCCCTCAGTCTCCGCGGACGACCCTATGATCGGGGGCCTTTTCCCCATGTTGAAGTGCCAGAAAGGACAGGTGAGGCCGCCCGAGGAATGCAACTTGTTTCTTGGTTTGTTGTGGTCGACACGAGGAGGGGGGGGTTGGGTGTTTGAGTCAGGCGCTGGCGTCTCTCTCCTTGGGGCCGGGACGAGCGTTTTGGCGAATGGAAACGGTGGTGGACGGTGATCTGTACCGGTGGAGGACGGTGAGCTGTACCGTTTGACTTGTCTCCTGCTGTCAACAAGCACCGTGACTCGATAGCATGGCACCTGGGCTTCAGCGACACCTTCTCGCCTGCAGCTGTGGACATGTGTCGGGATTGGCATCAATCGCTGCGTTGCAGGCACAGGGTTGAGCATGCTCGAGCATGATCGACCTTGGTCTGCGCCGGCCAATAATGGCAGGTGCTTCGATTGCGCTTGGGACGCCTCTCTCACGTGGACATCGCGAGCGTTACGGGGACAGACTGTGCTTCCAGCATAGGACGGCATGCCCACGAGAACCAAGTGCAAAGCTCGAGCCGTATCAGTTGCTGATTGGTACAATGCCGTCTATCCTCTCGGTCGCTGCTGGGTGCCCTCAGATAGGTGCAACTGGCCTGAACTACCAAAGAGTACGCTCCCGAGGGCATGCCATGTAGCAGGCATACCGAGATGAAGAGCACACAGACTATGCATACCACTGCACAGCATTGTCGAGCGCCGAGGAGCAGGCCGGATGGATCACGCCATGCAGACAAAGCAGAACCTTCCATTTTGTGCGCATAGCATCGCAGCTCGTCATCCTATGTACAACTCGGACCCAGCCCGCCCAGTCTGCCAGTCATCACGATAGCCATCGTCCGACTGTGTCAGGCTGCCTGCATCCCGTTGAAAACACGCAAGACCCAGAAACCGAGGTGGAAAAAAACATCACCCATTGCACAGAAACACCAGCACCACCTCCGTGTCCACCGTGTTGTCATGTCCACCGTGCCCACCGTGTCAGTCACCATGTCAGTCACCATGTCAGTCCACCTTGGCAATCGACCGTGTTAGTCCACCATCATCACATGTCCACCTCGTTAGCAACCCCCCCCCCCCCCAAAAAAAGGCCACCTGCAGCCACGGAAGCAAACAACTCGATCCGTGCCTAAGCAGGACCCTGGCTGCGCGTCTTGCGCGCCGTCTTGCCAGGCATGGGCAGCACCTTCTTGACCTTCTTCGCAAGCTTCTCGCCGAGCCCCTCCTTGTCCTCGCCGTAACCGTTACCGTTCTCGGTGCCGTTGGCCGTGACGGCCTTGGGCGGGCGGCCGGGCTTCCTCTTCTTGGCGTCGCCGTTGGTGGCCGCCGCGCCGTCGCCCTCGGGCTCGAGCTCGTCGGCCTTGCGCTTCTTGTCGGCGGCGGCAACAGCAGGCGCGGCGGGCTCGTCGGATTCGGCGGGCTTGTCAGCGGCAGCAGGAGCAGCAGCAGCGGCGGGCTCCTCAGCAACAGGGGCGGCAGAAGCAGGGGCGGCGTCCGTCTCCGTGAGAGCACCCGTCATCTCGGCGTCCTTGTTCGGGGACGCGACGCCATTGGCGCCAACGGGCTTGTCCTGGACGAGCTCGTCGGCCGTGACGTCCGTCTTGTCGGCGGGTTCGGCAGCCGCGGCGTCCTTGACGGCGTCCGTGGCCGTCGTCTCGGCCGTGACGGGCGCGGCGGCCTCGGTCGAGGTCAGTCCAGGGATGGGTTTCGAGGGCTCGGCCGCCGTGTCAATGGCCGTGTCCGCGGCCGTACCCGACACGGCGACGGGCGTGCCCTTGTCCGAGGCATCCTCGACGGTGGCCGCCTTGGGCGCAGCAGCGGCAGCCGGGGCCGCGGGCGCAGCAGGCTCGTCGGCCGTCTTGGCGTCCTCGGCAGCAAGAGGGTTCGCGCCCGTGGCGGGTGCACCGAGAGAGGAGGTGGCAGGCGCGGCAGCAGCCGGCTCGTCGGCTACGACTGGACGGCACGTCAGCAGCGTGTTCAATGTGCACAGAACAAGCAAGGAAAAGAACAAAGAAAGGGAAAGCAGGCCATCAGCAGGACGTGGGTTCGCGATTCGGCTGGGCTTGCTGGCCACCTGCTGGCTGGTGCGCAGAGACACGGACGACGACCCAGCAGCGGGCAGCCGCACCGCATCGCATTGGCGCCGCACCGCCCCTCGCACCGCCCCTCGCTTCCCGCCGACGGCCGATCAGCAATGCGCCCGCGCGCACCCAGAAGTTTGGCGATGCATCATGTTGTGAATGGGGCTGCGGGAATGGTGGACGGCTTGCTCACCTTGGTCGATGCTGGCAACAGCTGGCACAGCGCCGGGGGCAGGGTTGGCGTCCATGGCGATGACGTAAGGGCAAAGCGCACTGTGGCTCTCTCTCTCTCTCTCTCTCTCTGTCTTTGCGCGCGCGTTGCGTAGCTGGCTGGGGCGGGGGTGGGACGAGAGGATGCTCCGGGGGGACAGCGAGACGGCGGAGGCGAGCTGAAGCTGTAGACGGAGGTGCTGATGGCAATGGGATGGGTTTCGATGGTGATTGGCGATGTAGGGGGATGGGGGAGGAATGGAAAAGGGCTGGGGGAGCAGGCGTGTGAAGAGGAGAGAGAAGAAGATGAAGTGCGAGGAAGAGGGAGGCCAGTGGTGGTGGTGGCCAGCTGCCGAGTGCTACTGTTCCTCGTACGGATGGACGTATCTCTTGATTACTACAGCTGCTGCTACTCCCCAAAGGTAGTACCTTCAGGTAGGTAGGTAGGTAGGTAGGGAGGGAGGGAGGGAGGTACCTTGCCTGCTGGCGACGGTACCTTGCCTTCTGGCGACGAGTACTACGACATCGGCACTGCATCCAGCGTCACGGAAAGGAAAGGGCCAAGCAGGGCAGGGCAGTGAGTAAGGGCAGGCAGGGGCCTTTGTGTGTCTTGCAGCGTGCGAACGCGTCGCCCTGAGGCCCGGGGTTGCGTGGGCACGACAGAGGTTCCCCGTCGGCGGACGTGTGCTGCCGAGTGACATGACGTCCGATGAACCATGTTTCGCTGCAGTGTTGACATGACGGGGGTTGGCGTCGGCGGGTGGAGAGCTGTCGAGGTGCGAGGTACCGCGTCCGGCGTAGTGTCGTCTGGCTGCACTGTGGACGCGGCACGTATAGGCGGGTGGACATGGGGCAGACAGGCGGACATGCACGCTTGTTATGGCACTCGCAGGCGGGAGGGCACAGTGCTGATCATGGCGATGCGCTGTGGATCAGGAACCTTTTGCGGGGGAGCTCCACCTAGCCTCCCCTGCTCGCGATTGGCTGGCTTTCGTCTTCAGGGGATGCTGCACGAGGAGCACGCCATGCTGGCCTGTGCAGATGCCAGCTGTAATGCCAGCTGCGAATGCCAGCTGCCACATGCCAGCTGTAGCGGCCAGCTGTAGCGGCCATCTGCGAGGGGATTGCCAGAGAGAGAGAGAGAGAGAGAGCTGTCAGAATGCCTCTGACGGCGCCGCTACACGGATCAACGATATGACATGATCAGAATCGCCATGGTGAAATTCAGTACCCTGTCTGTAGCTGCCATCTGTGCTGCCATCTGCGCTGCCATCTGTGCTGCCATCTGTGCTGCCATCTGTGCTGCCAATCATCCCCCATCAGAGCTTAAAGTCGGCATTCGTCTTCTCCCACCCGCTCTCCGTCGCATCCAGCCCCGCCAGCTTCTCCGTGAGCTTGATCTTCATCGCTCGGTTCCTCTCCGTGCACAGCTCGTACATGGTGCTGAGGTTGAACAGCAGCGTGTGCGAGGAACGGCCGGAGCCCGCCATGCTCTCGAGCACCTCGCGGCCCTACACCACCTGTTAGCATGACAACGCACCAGCTGCCTGTGCGGCCGGGAGGCTCACCTTGTCCATGTGGCCCGTGTACAGCAGACACACCGCCATGTTGACGCCCACCATCTCGTCGTCGACCTCGTCCCGGAGCGCCTGCCACAGCCGCAGCGCCGCCTCGTACGCCCCGTCCGCCATCTCGCAGAGCGCCAGGATGACCTGCTCCGCGTGCCGCCCCGCGCCCTGGTGAGCGCCGCGCACGCACCGCCGCGCCGAGGCCACGTCCCCGAGATGAAGCCACAGCAGCGCCCGCGTCAGCGCCATGCGCCCGTCGCCGTCATCCCGCAGCGTGCCGAGGTGGTGCGCCGCGCCCGCGAGGTCCTCCATCTCCACGAGCGCGCCGGCGACCTGGATGCCGAGGTCGTGCAGCCGCCCGCGCCAGAGCCCCCGTGCCGCCGCGTCGTGCCGTGCCGCCGCCCGCGCCCCCTGGTCGCGCGCCTCGCGCGCGAGGTCGTGGTAGCTCATGACGGCGCGCCGCGGGTCGCCGAACCCGAGCGCCTGCAGCCGCACGTTGAGCACGCGCAGCGCCCACGGCACGAGGTGCTCGCCCGTGTCGTCGTCGACGTAGATGGCCGCGTTGTTGAGGTCCTCGAGCGCCCGCACCTCCTGCGCCGCCGTCGACGTCGCGTCGCAGAGCGTCAGGCACGCGAGCCGCGTGTACAGCAGGTCGAAGATGCGCCGGTAGTCGGTCGGGTCGACGGGCGCCGCGCGGGGCGACGCCGACGTGAGCTCCTGCACGGCCGAGATGGCCGCGGCCCGGAAGTGGCCCTGGCGGAGCAGCTCGGCGAGCGGCGCATCGGGCCGCGGCTGCTTGGTCGAGTTGCGGAAGGCGACGGGCACGTTGAGCGGCAGCAGGGGCTGGTAGATCTCGGGGCGCAGCAGGAAGCTGAAGTTCTTGGTGATCGAGGCGCGCACGGCAGGCGGGGCGGGTGACGGGGCTGGCGAGCGGAAGCTCGGTGATGGGTGGCCTGGTGGGCGCTGGCTCGAGGCGCGCTTGGGCTGGAGGGGTTCGAGGCGTGAGGGCGACGAGAGGGGGTCGTTGAGGGGGGTGCTGGGAGTGTCAGCATCGTCCCTGCCGCAAATAAGGATGGGGTCCTACTCTGCAAGATCGAGGGGGCCCTTAGTTGACGATCTTGGACGAGACGCTGTTGATGGGTTAGCATACGTCTATGGCATGTCGTGAGTCGCTCAGTCCGCCAGACTCCTGTGGTTGAGTGCCTTGGTCTAGGCTTATGGGGCTTGCGGATGCAGCTTCACCCGGACGACTTACACTTTGTGACCGACTTATTTCGGGTGTGCCCCTGAGGGGCGACACCGGCCTGTTGGCTCATGATGTTCTGATGAAGTTGCACTGCTCTTTTATGGTTGTTGCCCTTTCCACAGTTGGCGATCAGACAGGCGGATGACAGTCTGAAGTCGAGGCCCACATGTATGTATCCATACCTTCCGTCTGCATATGCAATCCGAGGCTCGAGTCGTTCAGCCGATTATCCCTATATACAATGTTCACATCACTACATACATATTTCAGGGGCAGATGCAGACGAGGACGCAGCCCTTGAAGCTGAGACAACGATATCGTTGGCAATTGCGGAATCTGGCGCATTTTGGATTTTAAATAGACAAACCCATATATTTCACTAAATACATGAAACGCAGGGCCTACCTCTTGTAGTTGCCCCAAGAGATTAGGAGGTGAATCCGTGGCCACTTACGTTCTTTCCCAGCCACGACAAACACCCCACGTCCGAGGCAATTGCTCCTGCGGAATAAACCTTTCTTCGCCTTGAATAAGTACCAGGATCCCCAAACTTTTATTCTACACAACTTTCCCATTCTCTGAATACTAAAGGCACTGAACTCACTTTCATCACCTGAGTCTTGACCATGAGCTCTCATGAGTGGTTTTGATATTGGGGTGTACAAACTCGATACAAAGTTGTACCCGTCCTTTCGATTCTATCTTGAGGGTTCCCACCACCAGTAGCTGGCATCATGACTAGTCCAGCTTCCCCAGCAGGGGCCGAGGCTCATACCAAGAAGCCGGAGACCGTCAAGAACCAAGTATGCAACTTGTGGCAAGTCTCCGCCGCTCTGAACTCTCTGCAGCGTAAACATAGGCAAGATGTACTAACTTGAGTATCTTCAGGGACCCACAGCCAATCATCACCGTGAAATGTGGCGATAAAGAATGGCTTGTCCATCAGAATATCCTCATCCACGGATCCGACTACTTCAAAACGGCCTTGACTAAGCCTTTTGCAGAGAGCAGCACTCGTTTTATCAAGTTGGAAGTCGGAATCATCACTACCCAGAGCCTGGGCCATTACATCTCAATAGCGTATCAAGCTGCCTTGTGCAGCACCTTCAAGGTGTGTTCCGAAAACATGCCTAAATCGAATCGGCTCGCCCAAACCATCAAACTCTGGACTGCAGCGGACTATTTCCAGCATGCGGCAATTAAACGCGAAGCGGCAAAATCAATCGACGCCATTCTTCATGCTCGCCAAAAATCTTGAAGCAATACAGCCTTCCAGTCCAAAGATGAGGCAGCCCGTTGCCTCGCCGTCAAGGGCTTTTGCAACGGATGGGATGCTTGTGAAATGGTGCTACCGGCTATCACTCAGTTCAGAATCTCTCTCGCGAACACGTTCGCTAAAGGTTGCGGCAACGAGGCCCTCAAGCTATTGTGGGAGACTGCGTCTGAGGACATGTCGAGGGCGGTTTCCGAGGAATTGCTGAAGATGAGAAAATGATTCAAACGTGTCACTTTGACTAAATTGGGGCGATAATGAAAGAAATGCTATCTAAGATGGCGATTTAATCTCGATACTTCCGCTGCGAAGTGCAACACGTAACCTGCTGAACATAGCTCTGTTTATGTCTTGCATGTGACATGTAGCTCCTGAAGCCCGCCAGACATGGCACTGAATGGACATTGCGCTTTATTCGTCACGTAAACCAAATGTTTTCATTTCAAGGAATGGATCCTCAAAAACGCAAATGACCATAAGGCGACGATAAACTAAGTTCTGGCGTGATTATCAACCGGGAATGTGTGAGTTTTAGCCTCCCCTTACGTCAGGACACGGCTCTGCTCAATCCATGCGACCTTGTCCCCCAGATGCTTCTGTGCCCTCAAATCACCAGACCGCGCGTGGCCTTCAAATTTCTCCGCCCGGGCCGCCCGACCACACAGCCTGCCCAGCTCTCCGCTAGCCTGGGGATTCCGCACCTCCTGGTATGTCTGCGTTCGCAGGTACTTGCCCACCCAAAGACCACCGGTGTACCGCGAAGCCTTCAGGGTTGGGAGGACATGATTCGTCCCGATACACTATTGCATTGGTCAGTGCCCGCACTTCACTACTTCTTGGTCACTACGAACCTTGTCGCCATATGACACGCAAGTGTTTTCACCCAGGAAAAGGGCGCCGTAGTTCGTCATCTTCTTCAAAGCCTCGCGGGGACGCTCGGTCAGAATCTGC